ATATTACATTAGCTTTAATTTAAGATATATATAAAAGTGTCAGACCTTCCGGAACATTTTCAAAATTTAAGTTAAAAAAATTAATTTTTTGTGAAAAAGTTGTCATTTTAAATCCCCCCTTGTGGGCAGGTTAAGGGTTAAATTTATGAAAAAAATATACCAAATGAAAGGTAATGATATCATGCATCTATAAAAAAAGAATTATATTGATTCGATTATTTTTAAAAAAGTTATAGCAATTTTAAGTAAAAAAAATTGAAAAAATTTCGAAAATTAGCAATTTTTAAATTTGTAATTTTTTTGAAGGTTTCCCCCATTTATGGGGAACGAGGGAAGTTTTTTCAATTTTTGAGGGTAATGTCTTCGGCTAGATACGATTTGTGATCTTTTGGCGTATCATTGAAAGAAATCAGTTCGGTGAGAGCTGAGAAAAAGGGGCAACAGACAAAAAAAAAAAAAAAAACACATCTTAGTAAAACCAATACCTTCTCAGCTTCGCATCGAAGCTAAAATGTATATTATAGAGATACTTAGTAATATTCCTAGAAAAGTTTTATTTTTCTTTGTTCTATTATACAGGATAATTAATTAAAAATAAGACACTCATTTGCTTAGAAACTATTGAAAATTTAAAATTTTTATAAAGAAAAATATTGTTTAATTCAAAAAACTCATATTGTTGTACTTATTATTAAACAATTTTATTATTAGTCCTAGCTGAGATAAAAATCCTAAACCTAAATATTTTAGTAGAAAGCATTAAATTGTTTTGTAGAAAAAGAATAAATCAAATCAAAAAAATTGAACAACAATTAATTCACAAATAATAAAGTTGAAACATAATTTAGTAACACGACTAAAATTGTTAAAAATATCGAAAAATTTGTACAGAAATGTCAATAGAAAAATATGATGTTTTCAGCTGTCGTTAAAATAGGTACAAAACATTTTATTATATCCCAAGGTTACAAAAAGAAAATCATATAAAACTCAGTATTTGAGATATAGTTTTAAATTTTCTTTAGTCATTTTAAATAATTGAATAATGAATGTATACATTTTGTTAGGGTTTATAGTTTGCTGTATTTATTCAATACATGCAAGTAATCAAAATATACAGGTAACTTCATTAATTTTATTTTAACTATCATATTTAGATTAATGCAACAAAAGAATTTACAAGTCTGATAGGGTAAAGTGGGGTAATTATATTTAAGTCTGATATTTTAAACCAAAAATACAAAATGTAATTTAAGTTTTATAATATAATTTTTTTCCTTTCCTCCAGGGTTAAAAACATTAGATTTAATTTTCTTAAACGGGAACCTTTATTTTTAACATTATAATATAATAGAAAAAATGGTCTTTGAGTATGTAGTGCGGGGGGTGGGTACTGCTCATACTAGTGTATGTAATCTCCGCTCGCACTACATACCCATCCAATGTATTAGAACGCTTTTAACTCAATAAATGTTTTATTTAAAAATTGTTTGACCCATTATTAATCATTTCTGTAAGAAAAGTGCTAAAAAAATTGGCTGTTTTAAAANATTAATCATTTCTGTAAGAAAAGTGCTAAAAAAATTGGCTGTTTTAAAATTGAAAACAATTGTTAATTAATTATTTTTTAATTTTATTAAAAATAAATAATAAAAATATATGATTTTAAAAATTAGGTTGTTTAAAAATGCATAAAATATTTTTTTTAAAATACAGCTAAATGTTAATTTTATCAAAAGTTGTAGAATTTTTCAGTTAGATTTATTCCATTCTTTATATTTTTTAAAAGCACAAAATGTCTATGATTAATCTCTTCAATAAATCTGAATCATATCTATTAATAATTTCACTCTATACATATGAGAGCCTCCCATAACGTAGTAATGATTATAGTTTGATTTATGATATTAAATAGCTTGTTAACATTTTGGGCTTTATGGCTTTTAAAATTGGCTTATGAAATTAATTTTCTTATAAAAATAAAGATAAGTATAACAGAAACATGATTTTGCAATAAATATTATATAAATTCTATATTCTAAATTCTATTTTTATCCTATTTGCAATTACTCTTGATAAATATCATATTAGGGTAATTGTATTAATGCATTTAAGGTCTTTTAAAATTCTCAAATTGTATATTTATCACCAATATTTTATTGCTTTAGATCTACTAGAAAAAAAAATGATAACTTAATAGCTAGACACAAAGTATTATTTATAAATTTTGCTTTGTAGTTAAAAAAAATATAAGCTAAAAGACTTAAAAAAGAAACAAAATTCTATTTATTAATTATTAATCAACTTAAACGAATAATTTATATATGATTAATTTAAAAATTCAAACACCATTACTACTTATTCACAATTACCTCTAATTAGTGAAGCAATTTTAATCATTCGGAGAAAATAAAAAATATTTATAATATTAAATTTAGTGCTTTTTATAAATAAAATAATGGTTTACATATTCAATTTTCAAAATACATATTATAAATAAAAATAAAACGATGAAAATTTTACTCATGTTAAATATGGTTAATGCAATTTATAAAAAAGTTTGCAATTACTTTATGTCATTCTAGAACAAATATTTTTTATATAATATAAATAATTTGTTTTGTTCTATACCGAAAATACAAATTTTATTTTATTTGTTTTTTTTTATCCATCAAATTTATTTTAAATGTAAATTTTGTTGAATATAAAGTTACATTAAATAAAAGTAAAATCGGATATCAAATAAAAATGACTTCTAATTTTTGTATAATATTCAATTATACAAAAATTATTTTTTTTTAATTATCTGTATTTTTATTTCTCAAAATTTCAAATATACAGTTTTGGAAAAAACACGAAATATGTAGCAAAAAATGTTTAAATGAAAATATTCTTATAAGAATTTGAATCGAAACAGAATATTAAACATACATTCTTGACAATTATTAATTTTTCTGAATTATCATGTCCTGATATAAAATTAAATGTTTTCTTTAAATAAGATCTAAAAAAAAAACTGAACATATTATAATTTGAGTCTTAAGTCAATGTTATATATTTTATTAACAGTTAAGCAGTGCTCGAATTGGGGGGGGTGCGCAGGGGGACGTAGCTCCTCTACTTTTTTTAAAATTTTTTTGCGCACCCCAACTACTTTTTTTTATTTGGACGGGAGGACGGTGGAAAATACCACCTCTTTTTTTTTTTTTTTAAATATTAGTATGATAATGAAATATGATTTATTAATAAATACTAAATAAAGTAATGAGTAAAAAAAAAAAAAAAGGTCTTCAAAATACTAGGGACGCAGTTTTCAAATTGTTAAGTTGAGCTCCCCTACTTATTTTTGGCCAATTCGAGCACTGCAGTTAAGCGATTCATGTTAATTATTAAAAACTAATCTTTATTGATTTTAATTATTTATTAAATGTTTTTAATTATTATTTAGGATATGAGAAAACAACTTTACTATGACATTAACTCCAAACATACAGTAGAATTAGCAAAAGGTATGTAATAAATCGTAAGTTAAATATGTGAGATTTTTAAGAACTTGCATTAAAAAATTCATTTTCATCGATTAAATTAACTTATCATCTTTAGAAATAACAAGTTAATTTAATCGATAAGATTTATTTTTAGAGCTTAAGAATATTATTTTCTTCTAATATTTATTGTACATATACCATTATTTTTTCCCCAGAAAATTTGTTAAACTTAACAAACGATGAAACTATAGTGTTTACTAATATATACGTGAATAATAAATAGTTTATCATTTTTCAATACATGTTTTTATTTTTGAATAACACTAACAAAAATAAAAATTCATTTAAAGATTAGAATTTTCTGACCTAAAATAATTTTTTTCTTATACGCTTTTATTAACCCATTTAGGGCCATAGCTGCCTCCCTCATAGGAGGAGGTTTCTTAACCATATATACTCCGGGATGGGACGGGTTAGTCCGTCCCCGGAGAGTGGGATGGCGACTCCAATTACCGAACTGATCTCTCATACGGCAAATGAAGCCGCTCGTGACCGAGTTTCGAACCTGAAGCAGTGCCCATCAAGCACTGACGCGTCACCGACTCGGCCATACCGTCCCATCTGATCTAAATTAATAAGTCTGAATATTCAAAGAGAGTTTATGAATTTAAATTTTCCACATTTATAAAATAAAATGTTTATGAACTCCTGAACACCTCATTCTAGTCACAATTGTAAGTGATATTCATAATGTCAATTATTATTGAGTTTTAAATCTGTATTAAATCCATAGTTGTAAAATGGAGTGGGGCTTGGAGGATTTAACTCTGTGGCGGCTTTCTAAAAATTAACGTGTAATTGTGCTATTTTGATGTTTGTATGTTATCTGTTATGTTTATGTGTGTCTGTTTATTATATTATTAAGTTAGTCGTCCCGAACTATCACTGCCCGACACCTACTTGTACTTCGTCATTCGTGTACTTAAAAATTTTAATTGTTAAAAATGATTTATTTATTAAAAATTGTGTTAAACGTTATTTAAACAATCCTGTCGTACAAAAAAAAAAAAACACCTCCAAAAATGTTTAGCACACCTGAATTTGTAATAAATCGTTAACGATCAATTCATTTATAATTTTACAAATCATAGAGTAAAATAGTAAAATTAAGCATATATTATACTATTTATTTTATGTATTTTATTATTTATTATACTAATAAAAAAAAAAGTATTAGAAGGGTTGGTACGATAAGTAAATTTCATTAAAATTTAAGTATTTATGTTTCGCCTAACAAAATAATAAAAAATAAAAATTTTAGAACTTAAAGATAAATGGTGCAAATTTAACACGTATAATTTCACAATAATGGAAGCTTTAGATATAATTGATACAGTCAATGATGCTTCTGCATTTGCGGATATATCAAATCATAATAAAATGCATGCATATCAAGTCGCTGAGTGTCTAAGAAAAAATCATCCCCGAGAAGATTGGTTACATTTAGTAGGCCTTATTCATGATTTAGGCAAAGTAAGTTACTATAAAATTAGTAACAATTATTAAATTTTCACATAAAATAATAATAAATCCAACAATACCAAGAGATTTTTCTTTTATTTGATATAATAACACATCAAATTATAGTTTGTGTAATCACATTTTTATTTATAAAACTTAAGTCTATAAATCAGAATTAATGAGTAAAAAAATCTAATTTTTTTATTTGGCTATAGTAAATATTCAGTCGGTGAACCTTATTTTTAAAACTAATAACGTAAAAATGTGTATGGAATATGACTTATAAATTTTAATATTTTCTTCAAAAAAAGGTTATTACAAAAATTTTCTAATATACATTTTTATTTGTAAAAAAAAAAAATACTAAAATTCACTTATTGAATATAAATTATTCAATGCACATTTGACTTACTACATTTTATTGCTTTGTCATAACTGAAAACAAATTGTCTTCTTTTCAAAAATAAAATTTGAACTTTTACAGAATAAAACAAAATCACTACTATCTAATAGGGATTCTTTTTAGCTTCGATGCGAAGCTGAGACGGTATTAATTTTACTATGATGTGTTTTTTATTTATTTATTTATTTTGTGTCTGTGAACACTCAATTTCATCTCTTGCTTGATTTTGATGAACAATATGTCATAAGATCCCCAATCATATCTAGTCGAAGATGTTACCCTCAAAAATTGAAAAAAAAATTCTAATCTATCAATAAAACCGTTACTCGTTCTATGTTCTCCACACAGTCAATTAAAATCATTCATTTTTAATGTTTTGAAATTATTAATTGAAGAATCAAGTTTGATATAATAAAAGTATTCAACTACAAAAGTAAATAATTTTACTTTGTAATTTGTTAATTTTTTTACTCTATTTGTGTGTGCTACTACTAGACTATAATATTCCAAATAATTTGGTATCATGTTGTTGTATAAATCATTGTATCATATATATATATTTATATGATTTTTTTATATATAAACATATATATTTTATAACAAAGAGAGCAAAATTCAAACAGTTTTTATTTATTCAACATTTTTTTCGATTATTATGATATGTTAAAAATAATCGATATTGTGGGAAAAATGAAGAAAACCAGCGATATCGATATCCAATGGAAATATCGATACCGTTGACGAATTCTACTAATAATAAATGAGCATCGTCTTTTTTATTACTAATCTTACATTAATCGAGACGAGCTGCAAATCGAGCTGTTACTAGTTCGATTATTAAGTTTTAATACGCCGACCCAGTCAAGGTGATTGGTGTGTTATATTCTAAAAAAGACGTATGCTCTGAAACTGACTACTCTTCTACAACACTGTGTTCAAATAGTGTATTTACAATGAAAAAAATAAAAGATATTTTTATTATATCTACATTTCAAAATTAATTTAAAACAACAAATTGATGAACAAAATTCTTTGTCATAGCTATATACAGTACCATAGGAACATTTTTCGTTCTAGGGGATGTGATCTCTCCAAACGCCATAAACTAAAGTGTTAATTAATATCCATTGATATGTGTTAAGAATTACAAAAGCAAATATCTATTTATCATTAATGTATTTTTTTCGCTCCGCGTTAATATCCATTTAAAAAACACAAGTTCCTACCACTTTTTTTGGGCGGGGAAGGAGGAATAGGACCAATTTTTTTGAAAATCGTAGAATATATATAAATTGTGTTATACTTTTAAAGACATTGTACGAGGCATATTAAGTTAATCAATAACCAAGTAGTATTAGTAATTCATAATTGGTTTATTTAACTCGAGAATTAAACACGGAAATAAATAAATACATTTTATTTTCCGTAAACTATAACTTAATTATTTTTTTTATTTTAATTAATTATATATTTTGCAATCTTATAAATCATTAGATCGCACTAGTAATGATAAATCTTTAAAATATATTTTAAATGCATAAAAATATATTTCTGAAATGTTTAATAAATTAATCTAATTTGTTTCGTGATGAATTCTGTTTTACTTTTAATGATGATCTTCCGTACATATACGTGTCCTTAAAGGACTATTTCATTCGACCGCCATGAAATTTTGGGAACCGTAGTGGGGACGGTGATCCTGCTAAAGTACCCCATGACCTATCACCGACAGACGTCTTATGTTCAGGCCACACATAGATCGTAAAATCCAGCGAGCTCAGAATCTTATGAATTATGAACTTCTGAGCTCGTTGGGCAGACTGTGTATAATTTAGAAACAGTTTGCACGGTCTGGGCAGATACTCTCGTGTGTCCCGCGGGTTTCACGCGACTACGGCTCATTAGGGCCTTTGGCTATTCTTACAGGTAAGCGATTGATCCTGGTAAGAGTACCCAGGTAAGCTAGCCACGATATGTGTTCTGTAAAAATAATATTACTCCAGAAGCAGTTTACCAGAAAAATAGTCTCATTTTTAAATTAAATAATAATAATAATATGACTACAAAATCCTTAGGTGTATTCAAAATTATACTTCATAATCACCTATAATTATTAATATTAATAATTATTCAATACATCAGGTATGCAAAAGAAAAATTAGTAATCATTAAATACAATCTTTCAATGTCGTGTTAAACTACATAAACTAACATACAACTTTAACAAAATTGACATGCGCAAACCAAAAATATATCTTACTAAAAACTATGCGCGTGGACTTAAAAAAATGTTTGATCCGATTTTTCTACCTTCTTTGTAGCATGTAGATTACAGTGGTTAATGAGCAAAACGGAAAAAAATCGTTTTCATAGAGAAAAGTGGCACAAGAAATTTGGGCGGCATGGAGAGCTGAAAAAAAAAGCTCATAACTCGGTCAAAAACCAGAAATTTCAACGAAATTTTCATGGTCCTTTTGGACTGTATTTAGACAGTCCTAGTAAAAATTTCAGGTTTCAAATCGATAAATACTGGCGGCAATGAACGTTTTTGATATAATTTTTAAACGTTCAGGGTGTGCTAAACATTTTTTTTGTCCTTTTAGCGAATTATTTTCCTCTTTAATTAAAAAAAAAAATTTGAAAATCGAACATCGTTAAGTAATTTTTTCAGCTATGGCTAATTCTTCAATGTTTTAAGGTAATGTTATTAAGCGGAGAAGAACCGTGGAAAGTTGTTGGCAACACGTTTCCAGTAGGATGTCCTTTCAGTACGCATATTGTTTACCCAGAAGCACTACAGGATAATCCGGACGCAAATAACGTACTTTACAAGTATGATGTGTCAAACAATTGAATTTATTTTATTTTATTCATTATGTTTTTGATTTAAAAAAGATTTTATATTTAGTACAAAGCCTGGAATGTATGAAAATAATATTGGTTTAGACAAAGTTTTAATGTCATGGAGTCATGATGAGTATCTCTACCATGTATTGATGAACCACAAACAATCCAACATCCCCAAAGAAGGCCTTTTTGCTATTAGGTATTAGAGAATAAAATGCCTTTTAATTAAATTTTTAATGTTGTAGTATACTATACTAATAAAAATACTGACAAAAAAAAAAATTAATCCACTAAAGAAATCAATAATTTACATGATTCAGGTATCATTCTTGTGCTCCGTTGCATTCATACACAGATTATGATTATTTATGTACTCAAGAAGATTTGGATATGAAATACTGGATTCAGCAATTGAAGTAAGTATTTTTTTTAACGTAACTGAAAAATCAGAATTTTACAATTAAAACTTTTTGTATAATTTTTTTTTATTGTACTTTTTGTTGTTTATAGAAAACATTTATTTTTTATATTTTAGTTTGTGTGATAAGTTTGACAAGCATTCAGAAATAAACATTGATGATATACAACCATATTATGAAACTTTGGTTCAAAAATATGTACCAGAAAATCTGGAATGGTAAACAAGAATTTTTCCCGCTTTTAAAACCAAACTTTAAGTATTTTGAATTTTTTTTTAATTCGTGTATAATAAAAAAACTTTAAGAAAAATAATTTTTTTAATTAAAAAATTTAAAATATTAACAGTGATAAAGTATATTAAGACATCTCATAACATTGTAAAATGTGATTTAATAAAATTTAATGTGAAATAAAAAATTACAATTACTAAATATTTATTATAACTATTTTTTTAGCTTTATAAGGGTGTCAATTTTATTTATGTTATTAATATCCTTATCAAACTGATAAACTAAGATGTCTTAGTTTCACTAAGACAAACAAAAAGTCATTGAAAATTATTTGGCCTAATGTATAGTTTTGCTATAAACTAAATAATAACAAAATTCTTCTAATTCAGTGGAGGCTCGGGGCTTAGACGACGGGACGATCGCACCCCTACTAAATTTAATTAAAAGAAGAAAATTAATTGTATATTCTAAATTTTAAATTTTTATTAAAAATTCAATGCACATACACGGTTTCGCGTATTTTTGCTGTACTCTAGATTGACACACCACTGAACTGATCACTCATATTTCCAGCTCCATTATACCCTAGTCCAATAAGATTGTTCAAATCTAAACCTAATTGTTTGCATTTCTCAAAAATTAAATTTGTCAAATTTTCCCCAGTTAAATCATGTGCCGGAATAAAACTTAAAAATTTTTTACGAAGTTGATAATTTTTATTTAATAATCGAGCGCATTAAGACAATTGTTCAATTCCAAAAACGTCTAACGTTTCACCNCAATTGTTCAATTCCAGAAACGTCTAACGTTTCACCGCAAAGAATAGCAAAACAACCAGCTTTATTGATGTCAATAATCAATTTTTTTTTAATTAATTACCTATAAATATTTATTTTTTCGTTTTGTATCGTCGAACTTAAATAACTGGAATTTTTTTATTGCTAGTTAATAGATGTGTTTTTAAATTTTCGTCCCCAAAATTAGCCCCAAATCGAAGTAGGGCACGAAATTTATCATTTTTTTTAGTGGGTTTTTACAGGTAAATGAAGCACTATAATCAACTCTTAGAGGAAGTTCGTTTTCACAGTCAAATTACAATCTCGATAATAGGTATTAGAGCCGCTCTATTTTCTTCTTGCTGTTTTTTCTTTGAGAATCTAATTGTGTTGTAACATCATTTATTTTTCCACTTACTACTTTTTAAAAACTATCTGCAACTACAACACAAAATTGATGATAGTTAGTTTTAGAATGGATAGTACATTTTTCAAAGGCGTTTTTCCATTTAATGAAAGGTTTAACGACTAATGATCAGATTTTTTCATGAGATCCTTTACCGACACAATCATTGTTAAACAAAACGTAGTATTTACAAAATGCGCCATTTACTTCTTTTGAGTACGCTAACCACTCCCACTTTTCTAACCACTGATATTGAAATTTAAGATTTTTTTTATTAAATATTCGAGTAGGAAAAATATAGTTTCTCGTAGGTATAAATACGGACTTTATAACATTACTCTTGAATAGATCGTTATTAGTGATTACCTTTTTTTGAAAAAGTTCATCTGACACAATTCTGATATCAAGATAAGTAGTACTCACATCTTTCGCTGCCTGTAATACTAAAAATGAACTACTCGATGAAACATCAGCTATTATGTTTTCCCCGATGCGTGTTCACTTATTGGTTTCACATTAGTCACACACTTTTTAGAAGTTGCTTTAAAATAATTGTCCAGCGCACCTCTCTACGTAACGGAAAGTTTTCAAAAATAAAACTTAACCCTTAAGCAGGCGCGTACCTATTTTTAACGTTCATAGTCGCGTGGGGGTCTATTAGACCCCATTTCTAAAAAAGTATAAAATATGTATAAAAAAGTTCATTTTTTTTAATTCTAAGACATTATTTGTTACCATATGATATATAAATATGGATAACAATTAAAAAATAAATAAATGTCAAAATTATGTGCATTACTAAAAATTATATTACAAAAAAAAAAACTTAATTTTCAAAATTTCATTAAAAAATTTTGGTTAATAAAAAAATTATTTCAACTGCAAAATATTATTTTTAAGACGGTAAATAAAAGCTTTTACTATTACAGAATGTATTTTTATTAATTTTTCTTGTATTTCTTTGAGGTCAAACATGGCTTATATTTACTAGTTTTATGTGTATTTACATTTACATAATCATTTTTCTGAATTGAATTTTTTTATTATTAATATTACAATACAATTTAATTATTATAATACGAGTAGGGTCAGGAGGGGTAATTGTGAATAGTGGTAATTGTAAATGAGGCACCGATAATCAATGTGTCCACATTGTGACGGGATGTATTTATTACATGTTTAGTTCGTATTTGTTCCGTATCATCGAGTAGTGGAAATTCTCAATAGATTATTTATTTTTAAAACTTAATTGAACAGTTGGTGGCAGATCCACATAATCCCAATTCCACAATATTATATCGATTATAACATTGCATTTACGATAAAACGATATTTTGAAAAAAAAATACAAGTCCAAAAAAAAATTATAACATTCATAGTCGCGTGGGGGTCAATATGACCCATTTCAACTTAGATGGATATTTTAAGTCATACATTTTTTTTTTGAAGGTATTTATTTATGAAAATCTATTCAATATTACTATAAAAACCATCTTCTAAATTTATATCTATGTACACCTTTTATGCAATATAATACATCCGTTTATATTTATGTGGGGTATGCTAGACCCCCACGCGACTGTTAAAGGGTTAAATCAAAACGGCCTGTCTGCGAATAAGCGTATGTATTATGTACACGATAATACTGCACTAAAAGACATTGTTCTTACTTTATTTCGGAAAATGTCATGGTGAATAGTTCAACAATAATTATTATCAGTGAAAAATATAAATTTAATATTATGTTCAGTTAGATATCCAAAAGAAAATCAAAATGTTATCTATAGTTGTGCCTCCAGACATACAATAGGACAAGCGGCGATAACGAACCATATACAATATGATATTCCATAAATTCTTGGAATATCAATGACATCATTGATGTTCCACGATTTAAATTGAATTTAACTCACATTGCACAAATGTTGTTCAGTATCGACTATCTAGTATTTATAAATGTAGAATAATGTAATACACAATTTTAATAAAGCAACCGATCTCAAATAAATGAAAAAAATACGGGCGTGTAGTTAGTAATTTATTCAAACCTATAGGTAAATACATTAAAATATGTATATTTTTTTATCGTCACTTATAAAATGTAATTGGTAGAAAATCAAAGTACCATCTGATTTTTTGGTGAGAAGTTTAAAAAAATCAGGGGGGGGGTCCAGACCCCTTGAACCTCCCCTGACTACGCGCCTGCCAACGAGTCACCACTGCTTGTCATATTTTAACAACCAAGAAAAATGATCAAATAAGATTTCAAATCTATAAAAGTCAATAATTATATTACTATATGACCCTCGAATTAACATAACTCTCATTGTTTCAAATACCTTTCAATCTTCTAATATTATTTTCTAATAATTTTAATCAAACTAGTATATAACCGATTTTTTTTTTTACTAAGTTTTGAGTTACGATACACTGTACTATACATTAATGACGCTCTAATTTTGTTCGTCGGATTATTTGTCGCTCTTACTAATTACCTCGATTGACTACAGTATTCATTTTTTCTAAAACTTGTCCACCAATTAAAAACAATCAATCAATTTGTCGCCAATTTGTCATATAGTATTTAATTTGTTATTCTATAATTGCTCTCTTATAAAATATGAGTATTTGGATAAGACATTTTTATAATTAGACGTTCTCGGCTGCGCATTTTCATCCGTCTAAATATAAAAATAGTTATAATTCCGAAGTACTGTTCCAAAAATTATTCTTTAAAATATAAATTTTACATTTTTATCTTAAAAACAAGTGAAATATGTAAATTGTCATAAAAAAAATTAAGATGGTATCCTTATAAAAGATGAAGGACGAACCTAAAAAGTATTTAACCACCTATAAATTGAGATATAAATAGTACTCATCAATTTTTATGTTTTATACATTTATTATGTTCACAATTTTGTAAACTGTTATTTTAAATTAAAAGTAATTAGAGCGTATAACCGATTACATTACATTATTCATATAATCTCAAATATAATGTAGAAAAAGTGGAGCTTGAATAATTTGTACTGAAAATTGACTAAGCCGAAATAATAAACAACATACAATTTATAAATGCTATTTACTTGCAATACTAATGGGCAATAAATAAGGATAAGGAAAATAACTCAACCGAACGGTCTATTAATAGTAATAATTTTAGAATATTTGAGCAACGAATTTAACACAACAATTTTCAGTAAATGGAACAATTTTTAAAAATGTCGACAAATTCAAATAAAATATATGTCAACAAGCAAACTGACAACGTCTGATATTCATAAGCATTAAGAAATTCTAAGATCTGTCCCCATTAATAATACAGACTTATGGAAGCAACGTTGCCAGTTTGCTTATGTAATTTGTTATGTAATTNGAAGCAACGTTGCCAGTTTGCTTATGTAATTTGTTATGTAATTTTCAATTAATTATTCCAATTTTATAAATATATTACACGAACAATAAGAATTGCCAAGAAGAAACTTGAGTTAAGAAAAAACGCAAAAGTATGAAACATAAAATCATATACAACGATGTGGATAGGGGGGACACTTAATACTAATGCCACTAAGGCGATGATATAAACAAATAATAAATTATATGAAACACGCGCCTTTGGCAGTTAAATGCATTATATCGGGTATCTATAATATTATTAGTTTATTCGTTGAAAACTC